GGCGGTACTTCATACGGAAAGAGATAACAGCCATCAGCAGGGCCAGGGAAGGGTCGGTTGCTTCGGGTGTATATACACCTCACGCGGGTGAGAGCGATGAGCTCTCTAAAGGGTTCTCCTCTGCTGCTGCAGGCATCTTCAAGGGTTTGCTGCTGCAGCAGCAGCAGCTGCTCGCTCACCTGCTGCCAGCAGCTGCTAGCTGATCCCTCCTCTGTAGACTCCCGAAGCAGCTGACTGTACGCAGCAGCACCACGGCGCACAACCTCGTCTCCGTCCTCTATGTTGCTTGCTGCTGCTGCTGCTGCTGCTGCTGCTGCTGTTGCCAAGGCTGCTGCTGTTGCTGCTGCTGTCGGTGGGAAGCGAAGGGTGGCGGCAAAGCCGGGAGATACGGCTGCAGCTACTAGGTGCTGCATCTGCTGCTGCTGCAGCAGCAGCTGCAGCAGCAGCTGCAGCAGCAGCTGCAGCAGCAGCTGCAGCAGCAGCAGCAGCAACAGCAGCGCCATGTGCAGCATTGTTCATTGTCCCGCCCCAAGGGTTTGAGGGCTTTCATCTCAGTTCATCTCGTTTGCCCTTCCCCCCCCAGCAACGCCAACAATAATAATAAATAATAAAAATAAATAATAAAAATAAATAATAAAAATAATAAATATTTCAATTACTAACCCCCCCCAACGCACAAACTTTTGTTCTTCTCTGACTGCGGCGACAGTGTTAGGGGGGGGGCGGTGCTGCTGCAGCAGTGAATGGGGTTGTTGAGTCGCCGCCTTCAGCTGTATTTATGAAATTATATATTTATTTGTCTATTTATTTGTTTTATTTAATTTATTTAATTTAGTTTTTCGTTTTTTCATCGATTTACCCTCATTTCTGTGCCGCAGCCCCGCCCGGCCTCCGCCGCGGCGGGTCACCCGACAGCCCCCACAGGACGCCGGCCGCAGCGGCCGGGGGGCTGCAGTAAAACACTCAAAAAAAGAAAATATTATATAAAAAAATAAATTAAAAAATAAAAATAAAATATTAAAATATATTTAACTCTTTTTCTCCCAATAACCTGCATCTCCGTCAGCAGTGAAACCCATAGAACCGGACCACTGGTGTGTGTGGGGCGGCAGCCAGAGGGGTTGCCGTCTGTGTGCGTGTTTTGTAGTGTAAATACAGAAATTAAAAGGATATATTTCAAAATAAAACTATAATAAATAAATATAAGAATATATAGTTATATAAATATTAAATAATTATTACAAAGGTGACGGCAATCCGTGTGTGTGTTAGATTAGATGGAGCTGCAGATACACCCGAAATTCTCGTTTCTCGTTTTCTGCTGTTGTGTATGTATTATAATTACTATTATTATTATTATTAATATTATCATTACTACAATCATAATATTATATACTAATAATATTATTACTACTAATAATATTATTA